GTGTATGTCTGTTTTTTTGTAATGCCTTGATGGGTCCCTAGGCGAGAAGCGAGTGTCCCCGTTTAATCCTCTTGTTATTTGAAATGAAATATTTAATGATTTACCTCTTCCATTTTGTGACTGGCTGTATGACAAAAAAGTCTATGCCAAAAAAATGCTTGTGAGCAAAACATGTATCGGATATTAACAATTCTGGTTGGTCTTAAAAATAAATTCCATTTTTTATTATATGTTCTCATTTCTTATGTAACCTAATGAACGTTCTAAGAAACTTCCAGAGAGAAACTACTTGAAATTAAACTGGGTCTATATAGTGGCCAAACTATGTTCCTATTTCCCCCACAAACCCAGTAAATGAGGAAAGAAATAAAAGACAAACCTCAACTTAAGTTCCTTTATAAAAATAACCAATTTTCTCAATTAATTTGTACAATCCCTTAAATTATTTACCTAATGGCTTTTGATGTATTTAATAATCAAATAAACTAACATAAGTAAATATGGCAAGAAATCAAAGCAAAGTATATGTCATATGCATGAATCCAAAAAGACAATAAATTCACCAACAGATGATATGGATGGTCGTTAGCCTGGTACCAGGCGAAGGACGCTTGCGCAAGATAGTATGCAGAAATTTTAAGATCCTAATTTCTACCTTTACATAAACAGTGAAATAAAAATTTATAAATAAAAAATATCAACGTTTAATGTTGAAACATAATAAACATTTAACACTCTCCAAGTTGGAAGAAGTTCTGCTTAACTTTTAGTTAAGTCCAAATTATTAATAAGAAAAATATTAAACCATGAAATTTTATATTTAAATGTAAATCATAAAACAAAATAAAAAGAAAATGTAATGAACACCAAAAAATAATAATAACAAACAAAGGACTTGAGACATAGAGGTTATTTACTGAAACTCCCAGATTGGAACAGGTTAATTTACTTAATCTAATCTCTGCCCGTTATGGGTCTTAAGAGTTTGCTTAACTTATAGTTAAGTCTTGTGTTTTTAATAAAGAAGAAATCTAAAAATTGAAATAGTGAACGTAGCTCTTATGTCCCGAGGTATTTATGGTCAATACCCAGGCCGAGACAGTAAGTGCTTAAATAACAAAATTTTGAAATAGTGCTTAGGTAATTAAATTATGAAATATATTGGTAATACATAAGTTATTAAAGTAAAACCCACAAGAACATCCTGTGCACAAACGTATAAATAATGTTGAAAATACCTTAACAACATTCGTTTAGAAAGTAAATGTTTAACTAAATAAGTTAGCAGGCACAGTGCACATATGAAATCCTCATTATATTAAAAAAACCTGATAGTAGGGTGTTTCCATGGACAGAATCACCGTTTTCCTATCCAGATAAAGAACTATCCATGTAAAATCAGCTATAAGTAAGCCAGGTGGCTAATAAGTCAAGGTTCTGGTCAATTTATTTACTATGTCCCCATGATTGAGTCTACGTTGATGTCCATAGTGAAATATCTTCTGGGTAAAACCTCTTTTGAAAAATGTTAAACTGATAGCCTTCCAAGTGAAAAGAAAAATAAGACGACCCACAGCAACCACATTTGAAGAATCCAGTTCAATATTACACACTCAAATGCCGATGGATCTCCAATTTTTTTGTCTATAAATCCCTTTAGCGGGTGTTGATTGGGTCCAAAAACACGGGAATTTATCAAAAACACTAATTCCCCTAAAATATAATTTACCCGTTCTTCCACAACTAATATTGTAGTAAAAGAATTCCCTTTATTAGGATAACTCGATGGTTATATAAATTAAAGATTTTATTCCTTAGACAAAATTTGAGGTTCTCTGCCTTTCTTCACTTGCCAGAAACACCTAACCAACAAATCTGGCACAGTGTCACCCCTTCCGCTTTGAAAAATGACAAGCCGAGTGGGTTCAGAAATTCATCTTTAAGAATTTACCAATACATATCTTAGAGACTATTTACGAAAAATAACTTTTCAAACTATATCTATATACACAATATAACTACATTTGGAAAGATCTCCTAAGCACGTACACACCTACAGTTAAATGAACGCACCTCGTACAGCGAATACGACTTAAAATCGCTCACTGCGGAGCTACCATTACCTGGAACTCGGAACCAGAAATGGAACGACATAGAACACATGACTCTGTCAATTATCGTGTCCCGTCGTTGACTGACATTTACTGTCAACCGTACTCAAACTCGTACTGTCAAAATTAAAACAATTACATTAAATTACAATAATTACTTTGAACAAGAAGTAAGCTAATTCAATAAAATTGGTTTCGTAAATAATTAATTACTTGAAGGTAAGTTTATAATACATAACATAATAAGTAAACTCACAACGAAACTATTTTCAAGAGTATCTAACATATTGAAATTAACCATAAAAATGTTTAACAATATAAACAAAATACTATACTTCTGTCCAGTGATAAGATGAATTAAATTATAATAATGATATCTAAAGGCTAACAATACATACAGCTAGCTTACGACAAAAATAATGGCTTAAAAGCTTATCAACAATAAATAAAGTTTTATCTTTTTTTTGTATATTTAAACAAGGTGAGTCGAATTTTTCTCTAGTAATTTGAGCAGCTAAAAATGCACGTTACACTTAGTGATGCCTAAGCATCAAAAAAGAAAAAACATACCACTTTTCTTGCTACTGTAAATCACTTTTAACCTCGCTTTTCCCAGCATCGTAGAAAACAAAAACAAAAAAAATTGTGATTAGTTCATTTGCATATAACTAAAAATATTTAGTAAAAAATATAGAAAACCTCCTTTCTTATATTTTTTATACACTATCAAACATAAAGTATACATTTTTCTTAATATTATTCTTCTTGTTTCCATAGTTCCCAAGATAATTCCTCATTGGAACATGGGGATCACATACGGTATTCCCAAGCTAAGGATTTGTCTAGGTTGACCTAACAATCAACGTAATTGAGGTGGGGCCATCCAGGTGTTCTACATATTTTTTTTTTGTTTAATTATCCTTTACTATATTTTTTTCTTTTTCCCATTATATCTTTTGCTGCTTTAGTTCTTTTTGAATAACCTTTGCAATTTGTTTCTTGGTCTCCCAATAGTTCTTTTCCCTGCTACCTACATGGAGTAAATTTTTTCTCCATTAATGGTCGAGAAATATATCGAAAATAGAAAAAAAAATGAGCTTCAATTTAAATTAAACAAAAACCGTAGATTAGATTAGATTAGATTAGATTAGGAGTTGGACGTTATTTGTCCTTGTCCACCGCGACCTTTTCAGATCTATTGTGGGACTCCGTTTGTTTTAGAGTATGTCGTCTAGCCTGGTCTTTTTTATTAGACTTAGTAGCTTTGACAGTGGCTCCCGCATGTAGTTGCATGCAATTGGCTTTTCTTCGCCCAATGTTAGAAACCTCATTCCAGCCAAGCCTTCACATTGGCACAGGACGTGGAATGATGTTTCCTCTTCTTCTTCACAGAACCTGCACAAAGTTGCTTCTTCTGCTGGATTTATGACACTCATGTGCCTTTTGAGGCGACAGTGTCCAGTAAGAAGGCCTATTGTTATCCTAACGATTTGACGTTTTTGATCCAGTAGGTCTTTCGTAAACTTGGCCGATGGTTCCTTGATGAACTGTTTGGCCTGTCTCAGTCTTGGATAGTTGTTCCACCATTCCTGAGACTCTTTTTGCATCCATTGTTTAATGGATGCCTTGCACAGTGCCTTAGCGACTCCACAAAAGGGTTCAGGGCCTGTCATGGCCTTATCTGAGCCTTCTCGGGCTAATTCGTCGGCCTTTTCGTTGCCCTGATATCCCTCATGGCCTGGAACCCAGGCTAAGGTCACCTTGTTTTGACTACTTAGCTCTGTCAGGTCTTCTAGACAGTCTTTCACCAGTCGTGATTTGATTTCTGGTGAGAGAATTGCCTTTAGAGCTGCTTGGCTATCAGAGTATATGGCAATAGTTTTGCCTGATACTTGCTGATTTAATATTTCTCTTGCACAGTGTTGTATGGCTATTAGCTCAGCCTGGAACACTGTTGCATATTTTCCTAAGCTTAGTGAAATCGTTGATTTCGACTTAGGTCCATAGATTCCAGCACCGGCTCCTTCCTTGGTTTTTGAACCGTCTGTGTACCAGACGAGTTCAGCCTGTACGGGAGGTCCCTGTTTCCAGGATTCTCGGGCTGGTATTTGAATTTGAAAATTTCTTTCAAATTTGTATGTGGTTATGGCTCTATCAGTAGGCATAGCTAGAATATTATCCCTTTGTACTTGCTGATATAGCCTTGTGTGGTCGGCGCTATGTAGTTGGCTTATTGGGTTTTGTCCCTGCATTAGCCTGTGAATAGCTGACCTGGTTTCTCCTTGTATGAAGATGTGCAATGGCGTGAAACCGTAAATATGGATGACATTAAAACTATGTAGGTAATTTTTCGCCACCCCTTCCTATTGTCTACTATTACCAGATTCGTATATTTTTGTTAGTTTATTTTTGCCACTTCAATCTATTTTGTTCTTTGTCTTCGTTTTTCTATACCTCTGAATTTTCGCACCGTAGTTATGAAACACCCCGTATATTATATTTAGGATTTATCCATAAAAGTTTATCTCTACACATGAAAATAAATTTTAAAACATACGAGTGTGTCAAATTGTCTAATCATCGTCGGTTCGTGGTCTATTTAATTTAAAATAAAAACTGTAGATAATAAAAATAATACGGATGATTCGAAAACTATTAGTGAAAATCTGCCAAAATTACTACTAATTAAAAATAATATAAACAACCTCTATTAAGCAACGTCTTATTTTTCTGAAAAATCTCAACAATCGAGTGTATCACATAAAATTAATTTAATTTGGCTCATTTTTTCTTGTTAATAAATATTCTATGTACAACTTCAATAGGTACTGACCCCGTGCATAATTCGTCATTCAAACACCTTAAACCCATACACTTGTTGAATATTAAATCTAATCAGTATGCAATTCCTCTGTACAGTAAGTATCGAAATGTATAAATAATATTACCAATAATTGGAAAAATAAGTCAAGAACATAACCTCAAAATTTTCTCAGTACCTTAAGGCATTGCCAAACCGCTTATTTAGTATGCCGATAATATTATTTGTTCATGGTTAATATTATTGTATAAAAAGTATTGTTGGATTAGGTGTAATCATCAGTTTGATCGTATCTTCACTGTGAAACAAAAATGTTTTCTAAGGTAAGACAACACAGTCACATGTATATTAATTTAAAAATAAAAATTTTTAATTTAAATTAATAATATAAGAAATTCCACTGCTATCTAAAATTTTCAAAATATTAAATTAGTGATTTTTAATTAAAAGTTTCAAAACACACTTTTTTCTAAAATATCCACATCTTTGGTTGACAATATATTATTAAATTTGATGAATTTGGATTAAAACAACATTTATTAAATGGTTATGTAAAATGTAAATTATCAACACTTTTCCAACAATTTATTTAAATCAGAATATAAACAATTTGTTTTTCAGAAATATATTCATTTTTAGAAACTCAAAATATTTATATTAAACTGGATGTAGTACCATCAATAAAAAAATTTATAGAAGAATAAGACTCAAACCATAATTCTATTTCAAAATATTTCCTACGCTACGAATCACCATTGTGAGGTTTTCTACCGTCTTGAATTTAACCAGTTAGTACCACTTAAGGGGGCCACCATATATACACATTTTAATTCTAATTAATGATACTAAAATGTAAAAAATGGATAACTAAATTTTTATGTTATTTTAAATATAGTTAAAAGAAATTCAGTTTTGTTAACTTTACAAAAAATATTCACATAAAACATTTTTGGTATTAATTAAGGTTATTTCGTATTGAATTTTGTAACGCACTAAATTAAACTTCCAACAAAAATTATATATTTTTAGCTCCATGAATGCAGGTTTAAATTTCAATAGAGTAGGTTTCACAATTGTAAAAATATTTTATTCAAATATGATTTAACGATGGTAATTGGACAATATTTTGGTTATTAGTAAATAAAAATGAAAAAAAAAAAAAAAAACAAATTATTATTTTTTTAGATTATCTGCGTTATCGCTATTTTGGGACTTGCCCAAGCAGCTCTCCGACCAGCAGCACCAGTACTAGCAAAACTTGAAGATGACCCCAACCCTTCATACTCTTATGCATATGACGTCCAGGACGCAACAACCGGAGATTCTAAAAACCACTTAGAAAACAGAAACGGCAATGTTGTAACAGGCCAATACAGTCTCAATGATCCTGACGGTACCAGAAGAACAGTACAGTACACCGCTGATCCAATCAACGGATTCGTAGCAGTCGTTAAAAAAGAACCTTTGGTACAAGCCCAACTCGTAACAGTACCACAACAGCAAGCGGTGTTTCAACAGCAACAACAACCTGTTGCTGCCCCACAAGAAGCATATTCTCTAGTTCAACAACCATTTTCGCTAGTCCAAGAACGTTTTTATGTAGCTCAACCAGTTGTACAACAACAAGCGTATGTAGCTCAACAACCTGCTCGTTATGTCCAACAACAGCCAGCCTTCGTAGCGCAACAACCTGCCCGTTTCGTTCAACAACAACAAGCCTTCGTAGCACAACAACCTGCCCGTTTGATTCAACAACAACAACAACAACCCTCTCGTGATGCCCAAAGACGTATGTCTCAACGTCAAACTGCACCCGAAGAAGCAGAAAGTACCACAGTAAACTCAGAATCTGAAGACATTGAGCCCACTACCACTGAACCAACACCTGAAAGCGGTTACTACTACCCCAAACCCGCAAGTCCAGCAGCTCTATTCTCTAGGAGAGAACCTCTAACAGCTAATAAAGCTTCTGCTCCTAAAGCGCAACCTGAAAAGTTGGAATTGTTCCCAGAAGAGCCATTAGCTGAACGTGTCAATCCAGTTGCTGCACCAAGAACCGTCCAGCCCGTGGTAGCTGCAGAACCTGTAGCAACTCAATTTGTGAGCTCCAGATATGTTCAAGCTCCTGTATTAGCTTTCTCTTCTCCGTATACTTTCAGTACCCTAACAGTATTTTAAAATCGATATGTAATTTATTTATTTGTATGTAATAAAGGCTACAGTTAAAAAAAATGTATTTATTAAACCTGTTAAGTTTAAGCAGTAAAGTGGCTCAATTAACCAACGTTGAATATTTAAATAATTTTACATATCTGGATTCCAAAGGAATTAGGTCTAACTGGATTGAGGCTTAAATGCTCCTCTACAGGTTTGATAACAGACCAAATATAGAAATAACGTAGAAGACGATTTAGAAAAATATATTTTCTATTCCTGCTGTACTGTAGAAATATTTAGGCTCCAGGCATTCAAATTTGTTTAACTGAATCCTTACTACTGCGAATATCGTAGAAGTCGATTTAGTAAAACATATTTTATAATCCTGCTGTACTGTAGAAATATTTAGGACCCAGGCATTTAAATTTGTTTAACTGAATCCTTACGACTGCATATAAGCCTCGCCATATACAACTATGGCATTATTTTAAATAATATATATGTTGTACAGAGGCTGAACTTCTGCCTAATACCACTTAAAAAGTATAAGCAGTTAATAAGCATGGAGGACATCATTTATAAATAATTTAGTTATGTATGTACATTAAGATCCTTGTATATAGTAAATAAACTATGCAAATAAAAAACACTTTTATCAAAGAAAAATATAAAACCATTTATTTACAATAATTCTACATGAAAAATAAACAAAAAACAACTTATCCTAGTTTACAAAACAAAAATATTACATAATAATCAGTCAGAATCTTAAAACACGCCGTACCCCCCTGGTGCAACCCCTAGAGGAGCTGGCGCACCCAAATATTGTGGTGCAGCAAATCTCCCCAAAGCTGGCGCAACGGGAGGAGCACCCAAATAAGGCGAAGCAAATCGCGCAGGAGCTGGCAAGTACGCAGGAGCAGGCCCTGTGGCAGGAACAACAGCCCTAGTAAGATAAGGAGATTGGAAGTGAGCTAAATGGGCAGGATATGCGGGAAATGGAGCTGGTACAGCAGGTAGAGGTGCTGGTAATGCGGGAAGTGGGGCTGGTACTGCTACTGGAGCTGGTACTGCTACTCGAGCTGGTACTGCTACTGGAGCTGGAACTGCCCTTACAAGTGGTGCTGCTGCTCTAGCTACAACTCCTATTGGTACTCTTCTTACTACAGCGTTGAAACCATGAACGGGATCGGCGTAATAATCTACAATTCTTCTGGTACCATCAGGATCTGCAACGCTGTATTGACCTCTGACAATTCCGTTTGCTCTGCTTTCTACTTGTCCTTTGGAATCACCTGTTAAAGCATCTTGGACGTCATAGGCAAACGAATATGATGGATTTGGATCTACGGTATCTGTTATGACGGCCGGTGCTCGTGCTAGGACGGGCGGAGCCGGGCCTATAAGTTGAGGGCCTGGTACTAAGGATGCGATAACTTCTCCCCAATTGGCGAGTACTAGGATGGCTGTTATAGTTATGAGCTGGAAAAAAGGTATAATATTTAAAAATAATATTTTGTCATAATTTAAATAAAAAATAAAATGTTTATTTCTAAATTATAAATGCGGCAATTAACTGTCTCGTGTTATCTCTAAACACTAAACACGAATATTGGCCTCCATGTACAGGGTGTTAAATTACCTCATAAACATGTTGTGTATTGTGTATGTACCGACTATAGTGCAGTGATAAAGATATTATTTTGGCTTTATTATACGGCCCGTGAAATATTGCGTCGTTAAAGTGATATATACAGTGTGTTAGCACTGGTCGAGAATCTATGTCTCATTGCAGTTACGATAAGATAGTTCTTTAATAGATGGCACAACGGCCGTTGTTTTGTTATTTTAGTTTAGTACGGGTTAAAGTTAAAAGCAGGATAAATGGTTAACACACGATAAAACAATTAGTTCATTAAGAAAATTGCCTTGTTTTATTGGACGTGCATAATATGATTGTTAAAAGTACTGAAATTGAATTGTAAATTTATCATTATTTAGGTTTATAAATTCGTAGCTTTGATAGATAATAATAATAACTCACTTTTCTATCTTTTACATAAAAATAAAATTAAATATTATTTATTTGAAATCCCTGAATATTTCACTATACACTGTAAACAAAGTAAAATATTGTATCTACCTGATTACATACAAAAAACTCTTTTAAAGATTTTTAAAATATTTACTAAGCATTTAATTAATTTACTTATACAGAGTATCATTAAAATGTTTAAAAAAATACGTGGGTAATAGTATTCTTGAAAATATTTAAGAAGTTCCTATGTATATATTTTTTAGCCATTTTGTCGCGACTCAATGAAGTACCTATTTCTATTGATCATGGGCGACTTGCTAAAGTAACAGTGGTACCTTAACAACCATAACAAAGAAACTTATGATATTAATATAGCCACCAGATCTCCATCTTTGTTTTGGATAAAAATATTTCCCGATTATGTTATGAATAACATTTAGATTAAAAAAATTGTTCATTAAAATATTAAAAGTATCAAATTTATTTGTAAAAGAGAAATTTAAAAAATTAGGTAACATTCTAATGATTGTTGGTTATCTAGGATATAAATAACTTTTCAGGAAAACGGCAACAAGCTAAAAGGATATTGACAACTACATTGACAATTAAATTCAGACATTCTGACGCATGGTTAGTAAACATTTCAAATTTGTTTGATTTTTTTGACAATTTTAAAAAAATGTTTCGTCAAAATTTGTAAAAGGAAAAATTAAAAGAAACCACGTCTTAAAATATCAAATCTACTTTTTGAGATATCGGCTCTGGAAATATCTATATAAATTTATAAATGGAAAATTGACTAAAACTTTCGATAAACGACTTAGTAAGTTATACAGGGTATTTCAAATGACACGTCAATATTGAAGGAAGTAATTTCTAGGTCTTTTCACGATTAAAATTTCCTACCCTATAAACATGTGCTATAAATTGCTATTTTTAAAAGATACAGGGTGAGTGAAATATAAAAATAAGTTTTTCATTGATATTCCAAATACTCTTTTACGATTTTGATTAAACTTGGTAGGTCCGTTTGTAGTATTAAGAAGATAATTTAAACCGGATTAGAATACAATTACGTATACCTAGAGACATCGAGGAGGGTAGCCTGATTGATACTTTTTAACACCCTATATATTGATAAAAGAAATTTCGAGTACATAAATTAAACTAAGGAATTTTCTCCATTAATATTGACATTACATTTAGGAACAACTTGTATAATAACAAACATGAATTCACTAAATTCCCATGTTTCACAAATCTTATACTGATCCATTATTATATTTCCACAAACTCCATTGTCACAACTAATTAAGATCACTAAAACTTCGTTATCACTGAACGCATTACCGATAACATTCGGGCCAAGCCGTTAGAACTTTCCAACTATATACTATCACCTTACCTTCGAAGCCATGTTTTACTGCTTAAACGATATAGATTAACTGATAAGAGAAAATAGATTGAATGGAGTATTTATAGTGTGCCGAAAAATATCGGTAACAGCTTTCTATGATGCTCAGTAGAATACTAATAGATTACGAGTGTTAAAATTGCACCATTTTTTTCACTTTTTTCGTTAAGGATGTTACAATTGATTTTTGTGTTATGTAAAGGTAATTAGAAGGTACAGAAAACAATACATTTACTGTTAGTTTTAATGTATTTTTACCAATAATATGTAGGTACCCTTGTTTGGTGATTATAAAATTATACTATCAAGATTCAAGGATCGGTAATGGGAAATTTATGTTAGGATAAGAGGAAAAATCTGATGTGTCCAACACATGACTTTCCTATCTAGTTATTACAGGCTTTTTCCGGTTATTTTGTACAACCTATTGCAACACCTCCATAAATGTTTAGAGGATAAAATAAATACATACATTTTCCACATACATCTACCTCGAAACATTTTTCTATAGATGTTCATTGAAAATGAAAATACTGCAAAATTTTAATTTAGCACTTTTCCTACAATTTTTCCTTTACGGTCCATTTTGGAAAAATCATGTATAAACAAAAATTATAGAGATCGATATCGCAAACAACTTTTATTTTAATAATTTTCATAAAAATCATAATTTTGCACATTTTGTCAGTTTTCTCGAATACGGACCATTTCAGGAAATTTTAACATAAAGCAAAAATTATAGATAATAATATTGGAAATAACTTTTATTTAAACAATTTTTTTCTCCAAACATAAATAACAGATATATTCCATAAAATATAAAAACGGCCCGCCATAAAGTACCCCCCCAGATGTTCCGACTTTGTCCAAAATCTAATCATTTTACGTCAGGCCGAAATAAAACTTAAGTTTAAAATTTAATGTTTTTTTCTTTATCCGTTTTTGAGTTTTCTTCAAATTTCGAAATTTACACATTTTCTCAAATATCTCGAATACGGTCCATTTTAAAGAAATTATGTATAGAATAAAAATTATAGAAAATTATATTACAAACAACTTTTGTTTGAACAATTTTTATAAAAAAATATTTTTTTACATTTTGTCAAATTTCTAGAATACGGACCATTTTTAGGAAAATTTTGTATAGAACAAAAATTTTAGATAATAATATAAAGAGTAACTTTTATTTGAAGAATTTTCTTCCCCAAACTTAAATAACAGATACATTCCATAAAATATAAAAATGACCACCCATAAAGTACCCCCCAGATGTTTCGAGTCGTGGGTAAAATCTTATTCAGATTTTGTTGTAGAAGGTGATAACCAGCTGTTTTGTAAAACATATTCTAAAATTGTAAGTACTTTTTTATTTTATATTTTATTTTGACCTTTCACAATGGTAAATCAAATGACAGTAAAATATTATTTCAACTCACAGTTAAAAAAAAAGTAGGGCAACTTTACAACGTAGGCATTTATTTAATTTAATTAAAACTTCAACATCTACAGGAATTTATTTGTTTTAGATTCCATGTAAAAAAAAGTTTCAAATCGACCAACACGCGAAAACACCCTCACATAGCAAAGCAGAAATCTAAAGACAAAGTCAACTTCCCCTGAAACAATATTTACAGCCGTATGCGTAGTCGATCGCCAGCGACTCGCCAGAGATTGATTTCGGCGTATCGTCAGCGATTCGCTGGCGATCCGCCGGCGAAAGCCCAAAAAGCTGGCGACTCGCCGGAGATTTTCACCGGAATGTCATTTTTCTCAAGTTTTTATTTTCTTTTATAGGGATTATCACCGGTATCTCTCGCATTTTATTCATGATTTATTTCTTAAAACTCAAAACATAATGAACGAATATCAAATTTTTCCCTATAAAAGAACATGAAAATTGTGTGAAATGACATTCCGGTGACAATCTTTGGCGAGTCGCCAGCTTTTTGGGCTTTCGCCGGCGGATCGCCAGCGAATCGCTGGGATACGCCAAAATGAATCTCTGGCGAGTCGCTGGCGATCGACTATGCATACGGCTGTTAGAATCTGGATCGTCTAGAAGTGAACAAGCTATTTTTACTTTCCTATCTGTATACAGATATAAGGAAAGTATAGAAATCATGATTTTGTTCGACCTCGAGTTTTCGACGGATTTTTACGTTTTGAGGTCCCCTGAATCCGTTTTGACTATTTTCGCGATGATGTGTGTGTGTGTGTGTGTGGTGTGTGTGTGTGTGTGTGTGTGTGTGTGTGTGTGTGTGTGTGTGTGTGTGTCTGTGTGTGTGTGTGTATGTGTGTGTGTGTGTGTGTGTGTGTGTGTGTGTGTGTGTGTGTGTGTGTGTGTGTGTGTATGTGTGTGTGTATAACTTAAGCTTTGTTTTAGCGTCCAATGAGCTTATTAGATTTTGGGCAGAGTCGGAACATCTGGGGGGGTACTTTATAGGTGGTTATTTTTATATTTTATAAAATATATCTGTTATATACGTTTGGAGAAGAAAATTCTTCAAATAAAAGTTACTTCTAATATAATTATCTATAATTTTTGTTTCATGCAAAATTTTCCTAAAATGGTCCGTAGTCGAGAAATTTGACAAAATGTAAAAAAAATAATTTTTTATAAAAGTTGTTTGTAATATAATTCTCTATAATTTTTATTTTATACATAATTTCTCTAAAATGGACCGTATTCGAGATATTTGAGAAAATGTGTAAATTTCGAAATTTGAAGAAAACTCAAAAACGGATAAAGAAAAAAACAACAAATTTTAAACTTAAGTTTTATTTTAGCCTGACGTGAAATGATTAGATTTTGGACAAAGTCGAAATATCTGGGGGGGGGTACTTTATGGGAGGCCGTTTTTATATTTTATGGAATATATCTGTTATTTATGTTTGGAGAAGAAAATTGTTCAAATAAAAGTTACTTCTAATATTATTATCTATCATTTTTGTTTTTTTGTCAAAATTTCCTGAAATGGTCCTTATTCGAGAAATTTGACAAAATGTGCAAAATTCTGATTTTTATGAAAATTGTTGAACTAAAAGTTGTTTGCGATATCGATCTCTATAATTTTTGTTTTTACATGATTTTTCTAAAATGGACCGTAATGGAAAAGTGCTAAATTTAATTTTTTCAGTATTTTCGTTTTCAATGAATATCTATAGAAAAATGTTTCGAGGTAGATGTATGTGGACAATGTATATATTTAGTTTATCCTCTGAATATTTATAGAGATGCTGCAATAGGTTGTACAAAATAACCGGAAAAAGCCTATAATAACTAGATAGGAAAGTCATGTGTTGGACACATCAGATTTTTAATGAAGATTTATGCAAAGATTTAGTGACTTCGAATATCCCTTTAATTTTTGCAAAAATACTGTAAATTTAATATTCCAGAGCAAAGTATATTACGCAAACGTGGTGTTGACAGTTTGTACATTGAGACTCGTAAAAAAATTTGTGAGATTACCGTTGGAAACTATTAATAAACCATTAATAAACTATTTCGATCAAATAACAAATTACTCTTATTGCATATGCCCTGCATATTTTTCAATTTTTTACACATATATTGAAGTATTTTGCGGCATATATATGCGCATATTTAACTACTTTTTGGGTGCATATATTCCTAGGTCTAGTGATTACAATTCATTACATATAATATTATCAGAGGAAAATTGGGTAGACATTTATTCTTCCATAGATGTTAATAAAATAACAGATATGTTTATTACTAAATCAAAATATTATATAAACTCAAGCAGTCGGGTAATAAAGATCAACCGTTCTCATTTCAAACGTAATCCTTAGATTACACATGGTTTAGTAACATCTATTAATATTAAGAATTCTTTATATAAAACAGTTAAAGAATATCCAAACAATAAACAAGCCTTAAAAGAATTTAAAACTTACAGAAACCAACTAAATGATCTGATAAAAATTGCCAAAACTGACTACTATAAAAATTGCCAAAACTGACTACTATAAAAATTAAATTAGTAAAAATAAGAATTCCTCAAAACATATGTGGCAAGTTGTAAAAAATATTCAAAATCATGGTTATACACAGGAGATATGTAAAATAAAACAGAACCACATAAATATAACAAACAAAACAGAAATTGCAAATGTATTTAACAGATATTTTACGGAAGTTAGTAACATTCTTGCAAAAAAAATTAAATAGTCATCTAGGAAATTTAATGAAAGAAGAATAGCTAACTCCATATATTTAGAACCTGTGGAAGAACAGGAGGTGGTTAAAATTATAAAAGATTTAAAACCAAACAAAGCGCCTGAACTACACCAAATTCCTTCTGAGGTTTATAAAAGATGTGTACATTATTTAAAAAATCCACTGACTTATCAAATAAAATTTTTACTACTGGAATATTTCCTGACTCTCTTTAAAATGTAGTTATAAAACCACTATATAAAGCTGGGGATAAGATAGAAATGTCAAACTACAGACCCATATCGATCATCTCCAGTATGAGTAAAATAATAGAAAAACTAATTAAAGTCAGATTGTGTAATTTTATAAACAAATACAAATTATTATCTTCCAAACAATATGAGTTTGTGGAGGGGAGGTCTACCGAAGATGCAATAGCTGACATAACATCCAAAATATACAAATCTATAGACACAAAAATGCCTGCGATTTGTATCTTGTAGATCTCGCCAAAGCATTGGACACGGTGAGTCATCAAGATGTATTAGAAACTTTAAATACCTTAGGCATCAGAGGAGTAGCCTATCAACTACTAAAGAGCTACCTAACTGATCGAGACCAGTATGTCAGTATTGGTGACATTATGAGTGATAAGCAAACAATACAATTTGGCATTCCCCAAGGTACTGTGCTTTGGCGAGATCTACAAAGATACAAATCGCAGGCATTTTTGTGTCTATAGATTTGTATATTTGTACATAAATTTCTGAATTACCTGTACCCGCAGAAATCATAGGTTTCGCCGATGACACGGCCATTT